ACACACACACACACACACACACACACACACACACACACACACACACACACACACACACACACAGAGAGAGAGAGTTTCTGACAAGGCACCAGTGTCTTGAATCATTATCTCAAGTATTTTTCCATCTGTTGTTTGCCAAATTCTTCAGACTGGGCCACACAATCCAGATGTGGTCTGGCCTCAGATATCAGACTTCTGCTCTTTGCTGCTGATTCACTGACAGACCAGGCGCTTTCTGGCAGATTGCGGTCATAGGGACAGAAAATGCACCTGGGTATATAAAAACCACGTTTAGTCTATAATCCACAAACAAAGAAAACATCAGTTTGATTTTACAGCAGAAAACTGCTCGTCTGCACAGCAAAATACTATAATATACAGTCATGTGAGAAAATGAGGACACCCTTTGAAAGCCTGTATACTTAAAATATATTTGGAGATGTGGATATTTAATATCAATTTTAATGATACTGAGGGATCCAAATAATATAACTAAACAATTAAAAAATAAGAAAAGCCTTTCTAAAACCTTATGTGAAATGTAATTTAAAAGAATGCAATTTCTGGTGAGGAATAAATTAGGACACCCCCACTTATTATCCCACTTAAAATGGTTAAAATCACACACACGGGTGTATCTTGTCAGGTGCACATGATCAGTACATCATTAACCAGGATTTTAAAGGAGCCTTGCCCTATTTAGTTTGGTGTGCTCCTGACTGTTGAAGTGTTGAAGTGAACGCCATGGTGAGATATAAAGAGCTGTCTGATGCCCTCAGAAAGAAGACTGTGACTGCTTATGAGTCTGGTAAGGGATTTAAAAAGATCTCAAAAGAATTCGACATCAGCCATTCCACCACCATCAATTGTTTACAAGTGGAGGACATTCGAAACAACTGCCACCATGCTCAGGTCTGGTCGTCTAAGCAAATTCTCTCCAAGAGCAGATCACAAGATGCTCAAAGAAGTCATCCAAAATCCTAAAATGTCATCATGGGAACTACAGCAGGCTCTGGCTACTGATGTGAAAGTGCATCACCCTACTATCAGAAAAACACAAGTTTGACTTTCATGGGAGGTGTGCAAGGAGGAAACCTTGGCTCTCTAAGAGAAACATTAAGGCCAGACTGAAGTTTACCAGAGCGAACGTAGACAAAGACCATGACTTCTGGAATAATGTTCTTTGAACAGATGAGTCTAAAATTGAATTATTTGGACACCAGAACAGTAGACATCCATAGTCCTGGAATGGCCAAGTCAAAGCCCTGATCTTAATCCTATTGAGATGCTGTGGGGTGACTTGAAACGGGCTGTACATGCAAGAAAACCCTCAAACATCACACAGCTGAGAGAATTCTGTGTTGAGGAGTGGGGCAAACTTTCTTCTGATTGATGTCAGAGACTGGTAAAAGGCTACAAAAGGCGTCTCGCTGAAGTTATATCAGCCAAAGGGGGCAACACTAGTTATTAGGGGGTAGGGTCTCCTAACCTTTTCCTCCATTAAAATGCACCACTTTGGTGCATGCAACAATAATCTAGTTCACTCAGAGCACAGCAGGAGATTCAATGGAATTAAAAAAAGAAATGAAGAAATAGAAATAAATAGTATTTGTGGGAATGTACTTATCCAGCACAAAATACATTTACCGTTGGATTTATGAAATGTGTGCACCAGCCTATTTGTTCTTACCAACTTGTGTATAAACGAATATCTGCATACCCGTTTCCTTCAAGATGAAGTAGAGAAAGTGGTGGAATTGGTTTAAATCACAAGGTTAAAAACTACCTTGTGACTACATTTACGATTTTGTTTTGCTTACATGCAATTATATTTTTTATTTATTTGATTGCAATTCTGTACATATGGTGGCTTATGGTGTTTAGGAAAACAATCAATAATCTAATAAATAATAAGATATAATAATAAAAATATTTAATATTACTATTAGTAGTACTTTAAAAAAAAAATTTATATTGATTGAATATTGTATATTGTACTCATTTTAAAGACTTGTGTTTTAAATTTCCTAACAGAGCCAAGCCATCATTTGTGGTAAATGGCAATCGGACTGGTTCTATAACACTTTTCTACTCTTTTTCTACTTTACTGTGTACTTAAAGCACTTTATATACCACGTCTCATTCACCCACACAACATTCACACTCTGATGAATGCATGGGAAGCAATTCTGAGTTCTGTATCTTGCTTAAGGGCACTTTGGTATTTGCAGACTGAAACAGTGAGATATGTGAACCACAACCACCTGCCTGGCCACAAAAACCCTCTAAATTTGTTTGAGTGTTAGAGTACAAACAAACTCAGGCATGAACATACTAATAATGTTTATCTGAACACATACGTGTGTGTGTGTACATATACATATATATACATATACGTATCTGTAAATGAAAATATATGTAGTGTGTATATATTGTTTTTTGTTTTATATGTCTGAAACAAATAAAGATACAATACAATACAATAAATCCTGATTTGTTCATGCGCTTGATTTACGCACAAATATGTGCGTAGGCACTGTTAATAACTTGTCATTTACTTACTAGCTATAGTTTTTAAAGAAACATGCACTTCTCTTGTTAAACACACAAGCAAAACCAAAAGTTTCACTAGACCATGGTGTCAAACCTTTTCCACAGTCCATATTAGCTTCTCTTCACTGGCCTACTGTTAAATCCTGAACTTAAATTCTGCATGATCAAGCCCTGTCATATATTAACAGTATTGGATTATTCCAAAAAAGCACTTAGCTTCAGACTACAGGTTTACTTGTGGTTCCTAGAGTTTCTAAAAGTAGACTGGGAGGCAGAGCTTTCAGGTATCAGGTCCATTTCCTGTGGAACCAGCTCCCAGTTTGGATTTGAGAGAGACACTATGTATACTTTTAAGATTAGGTTAAAACTTTCTTTTATGATAAAGCTTACAGTAAGGGTTAGACCAGATAACCCAAGACCATCTCTTAGTTATGTTGCAATAGATTTTGGTTGCTGGGTGCTTCCAATGATGCACTGAGTATTTCTTCTTCACTCAACAATTTTCTTTCCATGTGTTTAATCATCACTATTGCATTTAGAGGTTTAAACCAGCATTAGTAATGATTAAACTCTGACTCTCTCCCTCGGCTCTCTTTTCTTTCCCCTCATGGCAGATGGATGGCCCTCCCTGAGCCCGGTTCTGCTGGACGTTTCTTCCTGTTAAAAGGTTTCTCCTTTACCATCAGGGAAGCACTTCGTGACAGTGGGATTCTTAGGGTGTTCCCTCTAATATTGTTGGGTCTTTACCCTACAATATAAACCTGAACTTCTCAGCTGGTAGAAGACAATAAGGGTGGAACATTACTTAAAGACAAAAAGAAACCTTATTAAAGGTTAAATGGGGATTCTAGACAGAAATATAATTTGCAACCCAGTGGGTTTGATAGCAATTAACATTTTTTTCTTGCTGTGTAAAAAGCACCTGCTGGGGAAAAACGGTGACTAAAGCTCCAAGCATCACTGAGTAAACCTATAATAAGACCAGATTCAGCTCAGATACATTGGACAGTCACAGCAGGAAAAGAGTGGGTGTAATTAATATTATAGATGGCTCTGCTCCATTTACAGGTGTTTGTGCCAGTATGCAACACACCTAGAAGGAATCCAGCCTTTATAAATGTAATGAGTAACACCTGTGCCGTTTGTCTTTGGAAAGGCTTGCCATTTGTGAGACCAAGAATGAGTAAGTGTGAGTGAGAAGGTTCGGCCTGAAGAGAGATGTTTGCTGTGTGACAATTTCATCTACTTTAATAAGCACTTCAGTTAAATTATACAGGCAGCTTCATTCTGACAGGGATAACAACCAATATTAAACATGTGGAGCTGGACCAGACAGACAGACAGAGTGTAAATAAATGAGAAACTGACCACAGTAATTGGCCAAAGATATGGAAGTTAAGGAACATGTGTATTTGTCTATTTAGACCTAATTTTTCATCCATTACATTACTTTTTCTGTCACTTTCTATGTGACCAACCAGGTGGAACACTATAAATGTCTTTAAGAAATGTCTGTCCAAAAACATGCCACTTACTCAATATTTAAATGATTCTTCATGTTTTGCTCTTCCTGAAGTGAACAGCTCTGCTTTTGAGTACAGTTCTTTAGAACACAGGTTAACTGTTAATTCATTCACCTTGACAAGAAGCTGCTGAAGTTTTGCAGGTCACTTGAATCGAGCACCACATTCAGATCACCGATGGTCCTCTTTGATCTCTCACTGTCCTGCAGGAAATAACACACAATCCATTATTCAGTTATAGCACAATGAGTCACTTTATTTACAGTGACCAGTTTCACCCATCTGTGTTGCTCTGCTTTAAATACTTTGTCAGATTAAGAGAATGTCACGCTGACATGTCATGCATGGCCCTTTGGATTTCACTATTATCCAATTATAAGAACTCACAAAAGCAAAGCAAAACAATACAACAGAAGTGACTGAACTCAAATTTCCTCTTGAATTTTAATCTCTATTATATAATTATTCTTGAGTTAAACTGGTTTCATTTCTCTTACAGATTCAAACAGCTGAGTAAGCATTTACAGTTCAGTGTCTGGACTATATATATTGTATTATATAACTGATATATAATCAGTAAAGTTTCTAAGCTACACTTTCACCATATCTTTTCATCATGGTTAATGTGATCAGGAGCAAAATGTGGGTAATAAACAATGGGCAGATGAGTGGTGACACATAATAGCTTAACAAATTAAGCCTGTTTTTCAGTTCCCTGAATGTGAGAAGCAAAACAAAACTGATCATTTAGCCTTATTAAATTGGGGAAAATATTTTCAGGAAAAGTCAAGGGCCCAGTTGATGCTCTAAAGAAATAGTTCAGAGCATTCACAATCCATAATGTGTATTATTTTTACTCACCTGTTTGTATTTTAACTAAATATACAAGAAAACCTTGCTTTTTATCTAACCTTTGGTAAATTTCTAAATGTTTTACAGAGTTAGGCTAGCCATTTCACCCCACCCCACCAGCCTTCATGCTGAACTTGGCTTCGACTAAACAGCTCTTTCTCTGTGTTAATGAAAAAGGTGTTTTTATTTATATATATATATATATATATACATATATATATATACATATATATATACACATATATATATATACACATATATATATATACACATATATATATATATATATATATATGGAGATACGCTCATGATTGGTTTCAATGTGTTACAACAAACAAAACAATTTAAGGTTACTGGAAGTTGTGCTAGTCCACATTAAGGTGCAATAAAAAGGTCAGTAAACATTAAACTACAATTAAGGGTAAGAAGAGATGGTTTCAAATCAACAAAACAAGTACTATTCTCATTAAAACAAGTTAAAACCCTTTGGCTAATTGTAATTTTAATAACATTTTGTGAGCCATGCAGGAGAAAAGCTTTAAATAAAACCATCTGCTTGCTCTAATAGTCAGTGCAGCTAGAATTAAAACCAGAAAACAAACAATTAAAGTCTTTACTGAGTTACTTATGTCTCTTTACCGAGTTACTTGTGTCAAAAGGTATGGGTAAAATCTGCATCTTAAATGACTTCACGAAACAGCTTATATACATTATCCCTAAAGCCCAGCTTCACTGGTGGCCAAATGAGCTAAAATTAAAACCAGAAGACTTCTGGACCAACATGAAGCTGGTTTATTGGTCATTATACTGCACAATAAATTTTAAATTACTGTTAACTTTACATTTACACTATTAGCTGATGTTGAATTGTCTTTTTTTTATGTGACAGTCAAAAACGGGATTCTAACACACCTAGATATGAGGTAGGATATAAAACTTCAGAACTTTTTTGTTACAGATACAAATGTAGCCTGAAAGAGCTCCAAGTGCTGAAAGTTGTCCTCGTGTGTTCGGTTACGTTCACAATTTTGAAAATAAATATACACCTGATTTAGCCATTTTTGCAAGTTACAAATCATTTAGGAGGATACTGTGTTCAGGCACCTGCAGCCTTTTAAAACATGTTAACATTTCCCAAGTAAGCTACTGGTGAATATCATAATCATAGTTTTATTATTGTTACTGAATATCAGACATCATCACAAGAATTGTAAAACAACACCACTCATCAGTGAAACACTAAGGCACATGGCTTTGTCACCCTCTGCTGGCTGGACACAGCACTCCAGAAAGAATTCAGTATGGTTTTTGTCTCTGAGAATGTTTATATACCTTATTTTCTACTTTAGTTAAAGATTGAAACAAATTTCATCTGTCGCAAATTAAAGTGGAGTAAGATTAAGGCAACACCAGTCTTTGTATGATCAAAACCTTAAACAGATTGTGCATAAGACAAGTAGAGATACATGTGAATACTAATAATAATAATAGCCTATAACAATAACAACTAATAATCGATACAGTCCCAAGCTAAAGCCACGATTTTAGTTAATTTTTAAAATAATAAGTTTTATTAAGACTGAGATTTTGAGTATCTGAGCCAACATATCTACAACATGCAGACTCAACTGGACTTAAACACCAAGTCTGGGTCACAGTGACAGCTACATATATGGTTACACAATAATAATAATAATAATAATAATAATAATAATAATAATAATAATAATAATAGGTTAAAAAACAGAAAATCAGACACTAGATGGGTTAGAAATATGGACACAAGATAAAATAAGCTGAAAAGTACTTGCAAAAATCAAAGCAAGAGTTCAATGAACAGTTTCAGACCGGAGGAAAACTACAATCCATAAACAAAAACGGAAGGAAATATAACAACTCACCTTGATCTCGGAAAGCTGAAACTCGACCTGGAAGACCAGTTCAGAGCAGTTACCCGACAAAGAGAGCTGCTGAACCAGCTTTCTGCCACCTAACATACACAAATGCAATTATTTTTAGATCTATCATTTCATACCAAAATCCACTAAAGGGACCTTAAAGCCTACAGTGCATTGTGTTACAAAAGAATGTTGTTCATGTATTATTTACATTCATGGTAGAAGCCTGTCTTTTTTGGCATACAGTCACATATAAGTTTTTGATCAGTGTCAATCATGCAGGCACAAACCAAATGAATATTGTTTAGCTCATCAAAACCTTGCAGATAATGGGAAAAAACAAACAAAAATACAAACAAAAACAAATCAAACAACAAAAAATAAAATAAAAATACATTATATACTAAACTACACAGGGAACAAATTAAAACACTAAATGACATAAATAATTAAGATGCATCAGATTTATATTCTGATGGAATCTTAATCCTCTATTTAATACATAACAGGTCAGATGGCAGTGAAGACTGTGGTTTGAGACCCTGCTCTTACTGTTTTGTAGAGTCTTTGTGGTGCAGCTGTTCAAAGTGATGCCATTAATTTCTGTCTGCAGTTTCATATCCTCCTCCAGCTCCTCCAGCTCCTCTTTGAGTCTGGACATCACCATCTCCTTCCCTCCTTCTTGTCTCTGCCCGCACATGAACACTCTGTGAAGCCAAATAATTTATGATGAAAAGCTGTAGACAGATTTCGCAAAATGCAAAACAAAAATTAAACTCACAGAGCATTTTCCATTTGTTGGCTGTAGTGGAACGTTATGTCCTTATTGATTTCCTGTTGTTGGTGCTGCAGCGATTCAACTTCAGCTTGAAGACGCTCTATCTCAGACTCAAGCACCTTCACCTCCTCGGTGTTCTCATCACTCATCTTCTCCATCTTGAAGGATAAAAATCAAATGATTTAGTTAAAACAAAGACACGCATATTAGTTTGCCAGCACAACTTTATAACTTATAAAAAAGTATCAATTTGAAATTTACAGATTAAAACCACAAATCTACAGGAAAAGAAAAGAAAGAAAAAAAATTGTACTTAGAGGAATTATATATTTTCAATCTGAAAAGTTGGATCAACTTCATTATATTACAGACATTGCTAATTTTCATTTAATATCAGTTAATAATCTAATCAACCAATAATTTTATACTAATTATTGGATGCAATAAAGAAATGGTTTTGACTCTAACAGAAAATCACTGTTTTACCACAAACAACCCTACTTTCCTTCTCTTAACTCTCTCGTCATGGGTGCTGATAGGAATCCATGACGCTTGGACTAATAGGGTAGCTTTGCATTTGAATTCAAAATTAATCTCTCTTTATTTGACACTGGTGAAACTCCTTATTTTATCCTCTCCCTTTCAAGTAACTTTAGTCAGACGAATTTACTGAAACGGTGAAAAGTGAACACAGCACCACTGAAGAGGTGCTTTTTCGAGAGTTTTAAACTATAAACGCACCAGTTAAGAAAAAAGGTGTCAAAGTGGTTACGCTTTCATTAGCTGAACCAGTAAATCCCGGCTAACGAGACACTATAAAAATAACAACAACGTTAACAACAACAGACAAACTTTCGAGCTAACTTTCCACAGCTGTTTCCGTTGTGAAGAAGAAGTGTTTTTAACAATTCACAGTTCTATGTCAGTAGCTGATATAAAAGAGTTCTGCCATTATTAAGTAATGATTATCTGTATTTACCTGTTTGTTTTCCGTTTCTTAGCAGATGGAACCGAGCACTTCGGAAACTCGCGCCCTCTGGATTCTACCACTTTTCTAAAATCCGAGGGGGGAAGAAATTGCCTCCTTGAATAACAGTCACGCCAGCACTATGGCTCTGTTAAAACAAATACTACTGTTGTATACATGTTTGCATTTTAAAGTACATATAAGTGTTTTATCATCGCAAATGAGCCACAAAATCATAGCCCACCAGGAATTTGGGTGACTCCTTCACCCCACGTAGAAATAATGGAAATCCGCAGCTGTACCTAGTGTGTATTATTTTTTCTCCTTTATCAATAAAATGGAATATAACAATTATATGTTAATTAGCTTTCTTAAGTAAACACTTTTATAATTAAAAAATGTACCGGCATCCCTTAGCAGCGAGTTCGTTTATTTATTCATTTTTAAACCACCGTTGAGTCTACGGAACATTTGGGTGGTTCCCGAGAAAAATGTTACGGACGGATTTATCTGCAGGACCTCAGCTCCGGACAGAAATTGTGGTAACACCAGCTGGATACATGTGAGGTAAACATTTGTAGCTTTTCGGACTTTTTATGTAAAAATGCTCGCGATAACAAATAAGAGTAGTTATAAATCGACTCACTTAGAGATCACATATGTAGTAGACGCTCTATGATTTATGTTATGCTCTATGTCTGGAGTTCCTCCAGGCTGAAATGGATTTACTGGATCCACTCAGTTGCTTACAGCTAAAACCTGAGGCTCTGCTCTCAGTCCAGTCCTCTTAAGTTTATTCATTTTGGACGCTGCTTTAAAAGGTGTTTCAGCTTTAAAGTTATTATGAAGTCTTTGGTTTGTAATTTCGTTGGATTGTGCTGTATTATACTGAGAAGCACAATGTGCAGTGCAATGGAGTGGACACAATATTAGAAACAGTAAAACACAATTCAGAACCGTACAGACGAGCAGATCTCATCTGGCCTGATCTTTCATGCGAGCAGTGAGAGTATCTGTAGATTTATGAGAAGCATTTTGCTTTTCGCTTTTTGTTTGAATATGAATCTATTTTTTGTATGACTTTCCTGCATGTTTTACAAATGGTTATGTATGCAGTATTTATAAATGTGTAAAATATGCGAGGTAGTGATAGTGTACTTACTATGCCTGGTAGATCAGCTGAACATCAATTTACAAAGCTTTTTAAAGTGTAGCCACCTTATACTTACAGTCACAGCAATGCGACGACTGTACGTCGGTGGGTTAAGCCACACGGTCACTGAGAAGGATCTGAAGGATCGATTTGGAAAGTTTGGAGCCGTTGAGGATGTGGAGCTCCGGACCAGGAAAGACCCAGAGGGTGAGGAATCCAGTATACACTGACACACTTTGACAGCCAGAATGGTGACAGTAACGATGTTTAAATTCTGTTTATCTAATTTTATTGAAATCACCTTTCACATTCAGCACTGTCACTATCAGGTACTTGTACAATTGTTGTATTGGAAGGCATCTGATATTAACGAACCAGCAGCATTCATTTATGTATAACTTTATTTGTTAAAAGTTAAAATCCAAAGAAAACTAAACTCTAAAGCATTTTCTTATTTTACTGTGCATTTCTATTTAAAACAAGAAAACATACTTAAAGTTTGAACTTATTTACATCTAATTTGCATTGAAAAAATCTTTAGCTGTTGTTCTCACACTCCACAAATTATACAACTTTATTTACAAGTGATGCTTAAATACAAGATGTCAGGGCTGCTCTGAACATTAAAAAGATTTTCAATACAACTGTGAAAGTTTAGTTTACTTTTTTATTTTTTTGGTCAGGGACAATAAAAATTAATCAGAAAAAGCATAATCGAAAATAGATTTATGATCATTATGTTTTGTTCATTATGAATTCTTACATCTTGATAATCTTATTGTTCCTCCTGCAGGTGTTCCCTTTAAAACCTTTGGCTATGTCAACATCAATATTTCAGATCCCGACCTGAAGAAATGTAAGTGACCATAGCTGCCGCTGAAAATCCTCAGATTTAACCCCGAGGTCTAAGTCATTATCAGTGACAACCCCAAACTTCTAACTCTAAACATGTGTTTTAGGATTTAAGGGTTGTCATCCCCACTAAGTAAGTGGGGTTAGGTTAATTGGAGACTCTAAATTGTCCACAGGCGTGAATGCGGGAGTGAATGTGAGTACAAATGGTTGTCTGTGTATATGTGTTAGCCCTGCGACACACTGGCGACCTGTCCAGGGTATACCCTGCCTCTCGCCCTAAGACAGCTGGGATAGGCTCCAGCGCCACCCGCAACCCTGAAAAGGATAAGCGGAAGCAAATGGATGGATGGATGTATGTTATGCTCCAAGGTGCATAACACAAATACAACACAACAAAAGCAATATATACAAAAACCAGGAATAAGAAGCGTAGTTACAGTATATTTAAGTCTAAATAAGAATTGAGAGAAGCACAGATGACTATTTAGAGGGGGAAAAGTAAATACTTTCTTATGTGTGTCAGTGAGAATTATTTTTTGTTTGTTTTATATTTACCAAAACCTTGGAGAAAACAAACATATTCTGTGAGCATAGGGTTGGAGTTGTCACCAGTGATGACTTAGACCTCACAGGGTTAACTAACTTATGTAACTAATATTCATTCACACTGTTAGTGGGATGCCTCATCCGCCAAACTGAAGGAACCCTTCATCTAAACATGTAGTTAACACTTTCAGTGAGAATTATGTTTGTGTTGTTTGCACCATTGAGTAAATTTTCTACAGTCTGCTTTCTAAACTAACATTAAAAAAAAACTGTTGCATTATGAGATTGGTGTGTTTCCTCTGCAGGCCTGACAGTGCTAAACAAGTCTAAATGGAAAGGGGGAACTCTGCAGATTGAAATAGCAAAAGAGAGTTTCCTGCACAGGTACAACCACGTCGATCTCGCCATGTAAATCTAACACTAACAGAAAAGTGGAAATTATTATTGAATTATTAGGGGGGTGATTTTTTTTAACTCAGACTTTAATATCAAGGCTCACAACTGTTGATTGTCTGGTTTGAAAATTTTGGATTTTATGTTCACCAATCTTAAAAATTTGATCTCTGTACCTGTAGAAAATTATTCCTATCTATTAGCTTGAGAGCTAAAAGCTCTGTATTGACTGTGTCATAGGCTGGCTCAGGAGCGGCAGGAGTCAGCAGAGCAGCGTCTCCAACAGCCTGCAGCTGAGGACAAGAGACAGAAGCTTCTGGACTCACTGAGTAAAGCTGGTGTGGACAACTTCACCATGAAGGCTGCGGTTCCGGGGACCGAAATCCCAGGACACAAGGTCTAGTCATACTCTTTCCCTCAAGACATGATTATAACGAATGCACTTGCTCTCTTGTGGGGTCATGTAGTCACAATGTGGAAACCAATTCTTTTAAAAATGGAATCCCCTTAACATAAATTATTACATTTTAGTTTTAAGGGTTTAAGGTTGGTGTTGACTGTCCTCTGGTTTCAGGACTGGGTGGTCAGTAAATTTGGACGGGTCCTCCCCATCTTGCAGCTCAGAAGTCAGAAAGGCAGCAAATCTCGAAACCTGAAGTACGACCCATCGAAATACAGCCACAATATTCGCAAACTGGACCGAAACACCATCCCTGATGAGGCCACACCTGTGACCCAGCTCACCTGGGAGGTCCAGGGTGGGGATGATGAAATCAGTAAGAAGAGGCGGGGAGAGTTCCCCCCATGTGAGCCATGGAGACCCAAGAAGAGTCGGACAGACAATGTTTCTGGCAGAACCAGGTATCCATGTGACCTTTTCAGACTATTCAAGTAAACCAGGTTTGATTTGGTTAATCCACAAGGTCTCAGTTGGTTTCTGTCTCCGAGGGCCTCTGGGATTTTAGATTTTCCTTCCTCGATCCACTTTGCCTCCTGGACATTTTCTGTAATTTCTGGGATGCCCAGGTGTTAGCTTTGGAATTATGAGGGATATCTGCTGGTACAAGTGATTCTGACATATTTATTTCTGGAGTTAAGATAACTTTTTTTTTTTAATGACTAAAACCTCTAATGGATTTATTGTGTTCTTCAAGCCACCTGGTTTCTGAACTTGTTAGAAGTCCACACTTGTTCCTGACATTCCATATTTCCATTTTTGTTTAATTCTCAAAGGTTCCTATCAGATTTCCTGATGTTCCTAGAGCTTTGCAAGCTTTCAATAATCCGTTCTGATTCATGGTTTCTGGGTTTTTGGAATACCAGTTTCTGAATATTTAGTGTCCCTTCCTTTTGTTGATTTACCTTAGATTTGAACACCCTGTCAACTCTGTCAATCGCACTGAGGCTCATCAGCTCACCAACGGATTTGAAAAACAAAACAACCACAGACTGGCACAGAAGAAGTGGACACGCTTTACTGACAGCGATGCCGACTCAGAAGAGGGAATCCGCAGGCTGGTGGCAGCTCAGCAGACCTACCATGTTACACCACAGCAGCAGGAGGTGGAGGAGGATAATCTGGAAGTGGTTGGATATGACTTCTTAGCAAAATCTGCATGCAAAGGTAACAGATGTGTTTGAAACAGGCAGTTTGCGCATTTTAAAAATTCAAATTTGTCATTGTTTATGTTTACAATTCTACCTAAGTGATGAGTTTAACTTTATGGCTGCTTATTCATTTTACTTTCAAATGCACATGTAGGTTCACGTGTGCAAAAATGCAATAACAAAGACTTCTCACACAGGATTCTGTTGTACTGAAGTAACCATGAAAGCCACAGGTTTCATTTTGTATGATTTTATTTGTACTTTGACGACCAGAAAAGATGCCAAATTCTTAAACAGATTACATCAAGTAACCTGATTTTTATTTGTGGATTTTTGTGGCACATTGACTGCTAATTCTATGTAGTGCGTGTGTGGATGCAGATTTCTAGGGAAGAGTGCGGTATTAGCTTTATTCAAACCATGATATCAGGGATGTTCTTTCATTGAGTGACGCTGATCAGTACCAAATTATGTCAAAAGTCACTACAGTAAAAATAATAGAATTAAATATAAGTGAATCATTGTCATTTTCTCCATCCCAGAAAAAAAATTGATCTTTGGAATAGCAGGTTTTCCTCTTTGTGATTCCAGGTGATCAAGACAAGGATGACTACGACTCTGCTGACACAGATGAACTCTTTGCATCGAGGAAACCTCCTCCTGCTAAATGTCAGGAGAAACATACTCCCCCAACAGCAGAGCACCTCTCAGGAAACAACACAGACAAGAAGAGAAAAACAAAGAAGAAGAGAAAAGCTGGAGAGCAAGAGGAAGAGGACGGATCAACAGATGATGAAGAACACCTTACTTCTAGAAAACCGTCCTGCATGCAGCAAAAGAGGGATTCTAGTGAACAGAAGCTAAATAAGAAAACTCGTGACCTCCCTGTCGCAAGGCCGTCCTCATCAGAATCAGATAGGGATGAGGAAGATGAGGGTGATGAAGTAGACTCGGTAGATTCATGTTCAGACTCTGATTATGAAGCCATGTTTTCTAATATCACCCATCTGGAGATCTCCCTGGCTGACCTGCAGAGGCTAGCTGAGGCGGCCCAGCAGAACTCAAAGACTGTAGCTCCCAGCTTCCTCGGAGCTGGACTAGAACAAGAAACGCTTTTCCCGTCTTTTCCTGCAGAGCAACCTGCTCCAAAGAAAGGCTCCACGCCTGAAGAGATCCTCGCCATGATAATGGAGGACGACAGCAGCGAGGATGAACAGAAGAAGAAAAAGAGGAAAAGACAAGCTGTCACGTCAGCACCACTGCCTGCCTTCCAGGGCACAAAAGCATTGAATGAGGTATCGGAAGACGAGGAGGAGGACGATGGAAGAGGAAGAGAGGTTAAAAAACAGAAGATGAACTCTGATTCTGCACAACTGGTTCACAAAGAAACAGACAGCAAAACCATCACAAGCGTAAGAGACCAGAATCATGCAGAAACTAAGATTTCGGACAGCAGTGAGCAAGAAGAGGATGACGATGAAGAAGAAGAAGATGAGAATGATGATGATGATGATGAGAGTGATGATGGTGATGATGATGAAGAAGATGAGAGTGATGATGGTGATGATGAAGATGAGAGTGATGAGGAGGAGGAGGAAAAAGGAAAGATTATAAAAAAGGTTACAACTAAAGTTTGTGTAAACACAGAAAAGGCTGAGACTGAGTCTTCGTCTAGCAGTGAAGAAGAAGAGGAGGAGGAGGAGGAGGAAGTGAAGCAGGGGAGGGTGAACTCCAGTCAGATTGTTGTAAATGTTAAATCTGCAGGCAAGGCTTCACCTTCATCCTGCAGCTCATCTGGAAAGGATAAGAATGAGCCGCAGGTCATTTCTGCTAAAGGGGGTGTGAAAGCAGCTTTGAACAGGGAAACCTCCACCAGTGAGGAAGAGGAGGAGGAAGAGCTGGCACTCCCCCGGATGGCATTAGGAGTTGAGGAGGAAGAGGAGCGGCAGAGAAAGGCCAACATGAGGAGGCTGGCTGCTGTACAGCAACGACAGAAAGAGACCGAAGAACATAAAAAACTCATCCAGGGAGCACTAGCCAACCTGGTGAGAGCGCAGCGTGTTTATAAGATTGTTATTGTAATAAACTGATTCGTTTGGAATTATTTTAACCTAGTTAATAAAATCAAAGCAGTACTTGAAGTTTGGAAGGGTTTTTGATTGATGTTTCTTTGGAAAACAAACAAACAAACTAATCTGTAGGACAGAACACAGAATTATAATTTTTCATTATTAATGTAAAATTTCATGGTTTGATTGTTTGTTTTTTTTAAATATATATTTTTTTCTGATATTAAGAACCTAAAAACATGTCAAGTATATCTACATATTCCTCACTACCTTTAAAAGCAGGCAGCAAAGTTTCAATAAAACTTTAGTCCTCTTTGTGTGCTGAAGGCTTCAGATTTTCTTATGACACAATTCGTATTATTTATTAATAATAATTACTGATAATGATAAAACGCTGTTTCTTCATTAGGATGCTCCCGTGGCAGGAGCAGGGAAACACATCGTATTTGGCTCTGACGATGAAGAAGATGATGGTAATGACGATGGAGATCAGCAGAGGATGGACTCAGAGGTCTTAGCATCAAAGAAGACACTCTCCCAGGACGGCCAATCAGAGGATGAGGCCACTGGTGATGAAGCCACAGCAAATAAAAGTGTCAAAGTAAAAGCGGAGGTGAGTGAGTGCTGAGCTAAGGTCTCTGAACTGGAATATAAGAATTTAAAGCTGCATTCATCCACCTTTATTTCACCAAAGATGGTTATTATCAGTAGACATCTTAACTGATCGTGATAATGTGGCTCTAAACGGGCTGTTTTTTAACTTTGCATTTGTGTGTTTCAGATGCGTCTGAAGTCATCGGGCCCTCAGCTGTTTGGCGGCAGTGACGATGAAGATGAGGAGGATGGCAGCAGGTTTGACATCAAGCCTCAGTTTGAGGGTCAAGCAGGACAGAAGGTGAGAAAAGAAGTTCCACACTGTTGCACAGAGGTGGTCATAATGTTTTAGCTCAACCGTGGACTTGTGCAAACTCGAAACTTCGCACTAAATATTGGTTTGTTGTTTTTTGCTCAGCTGATGGCGCTGCAGTCTCGCTTCGGGACAGATGAGCGTTTCCAGATGGACTCTCGCTTTCTGGAGGAGGATGAAGAGGTTAAAGAGGAGGACGCAGGTGAGACTGTGGATGCAGGTACAGTAGCTGGTAAATGCAGGAAAGTAGATCAAGATGGAGAAACCCCGTGTTTTTGTTTTTTTTTATGTGCTCCGGACCAGGTTATTTACAGCATAACACAACTACCATTAATTTCTTCCTATAAGATATTATGGACCTTGGTGTGCTTTTATTTTCTGAAGCTGCATAAATCCTTTTGAAATATGGAAAATATCATCAGTCTATTAAAGCATCACTAGCTAGCCTGAAATTACACAGATGTTATAGATAAAATATTTTTTTATTAACAAAACAGTCAAGATAATTTTCTGTTTGAAAGCAGAAAGGTTTTACCAGTTTAGTTGTGCTGTAACACAACCTCCTTTATGTTGTACATCATGCACACTTCTTTATCTTCGATTCTAAGAATCATTTGTTACGTGTTTGTGATTCAGAGACAAAGAAAACCCTGGTGGAAGATGATGAGGATTTGGAGGAAGAGAAGAAGAAGACCCTGTCTATTCTGCAGAGTGTGCTTGGCCAACAACACTGCAGCAGCAAGACTGCTGGCAAAGCCAAGAAGTTCAAGTGAGCTTCACACAGCTTCTGAACTGGAACAAGTCATATTCACTGTGGAGAAAATAAAGAAACTTAAAGCTGTGTGACTGTGTGTTTGCAGAGATGTGTCAGCGCTTCATTACGACCCCAGCAAGGAAGAACATGCTGCATTTGAGACCAAGAAAGAGGAAGTCAAGAAGGAGAGGTACAAGCTCAGAAACATGAATTTCCACCTATTTTTCTTAAGTTCTCTAAATAAACTATATTAACACTGTGTTAAGATGATCTAGAATAATGGATAGTTCTAGGATTTTGTAGTTTGTTGTTTTAAAGAAATCCAGTAGAAACTTCTGCACCAGCGGTCCCCAACCCCCAGGCCACGGACCGGTACCGGGCTGCGAGAGTTGATGCTCGGGTGTGAAATTTATGATTTTCAGGGTTTCTATCAGCTTTTATCTTTACTTTTTTTTAAATCGTTTTTATCATTAATTCCTTCTTTTCCCGTGTGTTATGAATAAATCTTCTTTTTTCTGGGTACCGGTACTGGTTTTATTTTGTTGTGTTTATCCACTACACCTATTGTCGGATATAAACCGGTCTGTGGCACAAAAAAGGTTGGGGACCGCTGTTCTACACTCTTTCTATGGTATTTGTTTCCACTAAACACTTCAAAACTAGATCAGAAAAAGTAGTAAGGGATGGAAATTTCTTTTTTTTTTTTTTTTTTAAAAAGAAGCAGGAAGATGTTTCTGACAAACACTGTTCAGTCAAGCAAGTAGTACATTTGTTTGGATATTATTTTCCGCAGTGGATTTAATACAAGCCCTGCGACACACTGGCGACCTGTCCAGGGTGTACTCCGCCTCTCGCCCTAAGACAGCTGAGATACGCTCCAGCGCCCCTGCCAAAGCAGATGGATTTAATACATCAGATAATCATTATTATTGTAGGTGCCAGACTTTGACAAGAAACTACCTAAGTAAAAATAATATATAACAGTGACTTTACTACTTTAAGTCAGCTCAGCACAGACCCAGACAGACTACATTTAGGGAATATCAGGGTTTTATTTTTCTGGGCTCACACACTGTAAACAACACAATGGCTGTGTGCTTCTTAAAAAGAACTCGGGCACGCTCAAGTGTCACTCAGCCTTCCCTCACTCCTCTGCCTGAATCACTCTGCCCATCCTCTCCACCTGCAGCTGAGCAGAAACATCACCCTACTGCAACACAATCATAACTATGGTTCTGTGTGTCATCATTGTACTGGTTTTACTGTTAAACCTGAATTCTAACAATGTTTGTAATGTTGTTGTTTTTTTGCGGTACTCAATATTTATGTCAATAAATGGTTTAATATGCTTTTTGCAAAGTTACAATAATAAAATAAAGTTTTTAGCATTCACATGTGCAGGAAACCAGAAAATTCAACCTGTGATCTGTTGTCTTCACAGCAAAGCTGCCAGGAAGAAGAAACGTGAGGAAGCTCAAAAGCTTCCTGAGGTTTCTAAAGAGATTTATTACGACGTGTCAGGCGACCTGAAGACCGTGTTCGGTCAGAGCAAGGATGAGACGGATCAACAAGAAGAGAAGATGAACTGGGACCAGAAGGAGGAAGAAGAAGAGCGTAAAGAGAAGGAGGAAGAGTCAGCCCCGCTGCTCTCTGTTCCCAGTGTGGAAAAAGAGGATTTGTGTGGATTTAAATTTTCCTTCTTTGGAGATGACACAGAGACAGGAAGTAAAGAGACAGGTAGGTAGAGCCTGAACTGATCTTAAGCTTCCAAATACATGAATGCTGTTGTTTTTGGGTTTGTTTGTTTGTTTTTAATCTTTTCATTTTTCTCTAAACAGCCGACTACAAGGTAGAGGCCATTCAAGCTCCAAAGGTGTCATGGCATCAAGACCCACGTTTCCATGACAGCAGCTCAGAGGAGGAAGAGGATGAGCAGGAGGAAGATGAGGAGCAAGGCAACACCACAGCTAAAACTACAGAGTACGAAAAACAATCTGTGTTTGATTAGGAACTATTTATGAGAAAGATGAGAGCATTGTTGCCAGTTATTTTTGGTTCATTAACACAGCTGCTTTCACACACCTGACCAATCAAAGCATGAAGTGGATATGACTGTGAGATTGTTATGAAAGGAGACAGGAGATTGAAGGTGTGTTGAATCGATACAAAGAAAATACAGTATGATCTGAGCTTTTGTGTGTTTTTGTTGCGTTTTTACAGAGTGGTGATGCCGTCACACACTGAGTTCTTCTTCTTTTACCCTGATGATGACAGACTGACAGGTAGGATGGTGATTCCAAAGGAAATAAAAGAAAATTATCTTATAGCCGGCCGGGAAAAGCAAAAAGGGGGGGGGGAAAATTTTTTGCAAAACCAAAAGGGAAAAAAACTAATAAAACGGGAACCAACAACCGGGTCAAACCGCAAGCAAGGCAAGGGAAAATTCCAAAATTTTGGTGGTGCCTTTTTTTTTTTTTTAAATTGATAAAGGTTCTGATGTGTGATCTGAACACTGTTTTCTCCTTTAGATGGTCCCAAGTCGTTCTGGCGTGTGTCTGAGTTGGAGGAGCAGAGGGAGCAGTGGGAGGAGAGGAGGAGTGCACTCAGACAGGTACAGAGTTTGTATGAACACTGCTAAAACCGGTCAAGAAGTTCAACCTTGTTAGATGCTAAATCTTCAGTTTAAAAAAAAAAATAATAATAATTATTTTTTTTATTTTCTTTTTAAATGAGGAACACAGCTCCACAATTTGCTTTCACAGTGAGTGTGGTATACATTGCATATCATAACTTTATTACACTGCCAGACTGTTTTTGTAACACTAGGTTTTTTTAGTTTTTCAGAAAAAATCCAGTAAAATCTCTCATCTAGACCAAAAAAGGCACATATCTACACTCCCCTTAAAACCACTGCTGCTAATACTGGTAATTGAGTACCTTAAAGTGCCAATCAGTAAGGCAGTGTTAGAGAGAGTTGTGACTTATACACCTCTTACCCACCTTCTGGAGTAGTTTGGTTTACTAACTGTCATCTAAGTATAAATCATTTGGTACACATTGCAACTTCTTTGTGTTTTGGCTCAGACAATAAAAGTAAACAAGACACAGGTTGTGGTGCTAACGTCACCCTTCTACCCTGTACAGACATGTGATGCCACGGAGCTTAGAGGCCTTACAGCCTGTTCACCGGGAACATCTTGTGCAAACAAGCCTTTATTCCTCGACTTCATACCTGGCTGTATTACTTGCTGAGGCCTCGGTGTCAGCAGACCTGATCTCTCTAAATAAAACTTAAGCTTCCCGTCTGTCCATTCATCCATTTTCTTTAGTGCTTATCCAGCTCAGGCATGCAGGGGTGCTGGAGCCTGTCCCAGCTGTCATAGCTTGAGAGAATGAATGCTGGACAGGTTACCAGGCACTGACAGGTGGTCTACTTAATGATCCTGAAACCCAGCTACAGCGGCAGTGAGAAACGTCTGCAGTGGCAAGGCATCAGCCCAGAAACCCACAAGAGCAGCGAACCCAGCTGTCGTCCTAACCGCATGATCTCACAAAGTTCTAGCCCGTGATGGATGAAAGTAATCAAGAAGACAGAATTGGAGCAGAAAGATGTGTTTTAAAGTTTTGAAGAGACAGATTGTGGAGAAATTCTTCTCTATGACGAGTAACTTAGATAAAAATATTAGAGCTTTAAAAAAAATACTGTTTATGAGTTCAACATTTTCTTTGAAGTTGTTCGTGGGAGCATTTATGAGCACTGTCAGACAGTTCCATTACCAACCACAACTCTTTGTCTTCATGCAAGTCAAATCTGTAGGTGCATAAAAATGTCTTTGCCAAGTCTGATAATTATGTAGGAGTGAAGACGTAAAGTGGCTCAAGTTATTCAGTAAACATGTTTCGGCTTTCCCGTCTGTGTTCACAGGAGTACCGCAAGAAGCACAAGGATGCTCGGAGGAAGCTGACGTCCTCCCTGAAGAGCTGAGGATTGTGGGCAATGAAGTCTTTGTGTTTCAGCACTCACTGCCCTGAATTCGTGCCTGACAGAATTCATGCCTGACCGATCATTTCTCCTTTCTTGGTGCCAATTTTTTGGCTCGGACTGATTGTAGCAGTCAGCAGGATGGAGAGCAGATGGCTGCCAAAGACAGTGAACTCATCTGAATGTTTAAGATCGTCCAGAGTTTCAGATTAAATGTTTATTTTAGTGGGTATTAATATTTTTGATGAGATATTTTGTAGTAAGTTTGTTTTTTGTTTTTTGTAAACAGCAGGTGTTACCTGCTGTGAAAACATGAGTTCATACAAGCAGCAGCTCCCACTTATGGAGGACCAAACCTGCTATAAAAGTGGACAAATAAATAAATATGCTTCTTCAAATTAAAATAAGAATAAATGAAAATGAAAGGTATAACTTAACTAAACATTTTCTTTTCCATTGTTTCTGGTTTCAGGCATATTATCTTATCATTATCATTTTATTTTTTTTAATCTCACCATTTTTACCCCTCCGCCTGTAAATGGCCGATAGGATATTGTTGTCACCCTGCTGGGCGGACAGCATGAACACTCAAGTTTGTCAGTACGATAACTCATAAATGAGGCGATTTAGGAGCTTCAAATTGATACCATAGTGCAGCTACTAAAACTCTCCCCTGAGTTTGAATCTTGTTGACCTCAAGCTAAAGGTCAAGGTCAGAGGTCAAGCTACCTGAAAATCTTGTAAATTCCATAACTCAAGAAGGAAGACACCTAGGATTTTCAAATTGATATCGTAGGTGTATCTACTAAACTCACACAAGTTCAAATTCCAACGACCTCGGCCTCAAGGTCAGAGGTTAAGTCCTCTGAAAATCTTTTGAATGTGCTAACTTCAGGATGTAGGATTTTGAAATTGATGCTACATGTGTGTCTACTAGGAGGCTGAGGGGTAGCACTGGCGGTCGTTTTCTCTTCCGGGTTTGGTCTTCCGCACTTCTGAGATGAGCCACTTTGAATGAGAATATTGAAGCTCCTGTCGCCACTTTGGACCTGTTACCTCATGAAAGTCACTATGAGGAGAGGTTTCAGTCTCCCTTTGTGTTTTGTAAAATAATTTGAATGCTTTCAGTTTATGGGAAAAAGTTTATTAGATACACGTAACTCAAACCAGTCCAGTCTAACGAAGAGTCAATTTAGGATAAGATGAGCTTTATTCTCACTGTGAGCACAAACATAAAATATAATTGGAAAAAGCATATCTGTTGTATATAGACCAATGTTGCTGTAGTTAACTAAAAGCTAAATAAGAAAAAACAAAAACTAGACTTTTGAAAAATAATTCAAAGTAACTGAAACCATTTTGTGAACTTGGAAAAATAAAATAAAATTAACAGTCCTAATGAGAGCAGCTTTAACAATGCTGGGAGTTATTATAACCAATTAAAATAACTTATTTGGTTAACTTTGACTTTCAGGTCAGAATTAAAATGTTCCAATATTTTATTTTTATTAATTTCAATTAAATTTTATTCATACAGTGCCAAATCACAACAACAGTTGCCTCAAGGCACTTTGTATTGTAAGGTAGACCCTACAATAATACAGCAAAGAAAACAGCAAAAATCATATGACGCCCTATGAGCCAGCGCGTTGGCGGCAGTGTGAAGGAAAAACTCCCCTTTAACAGGAAGAAACCTCCAGCAGAACCAGGCTCAGGGAGGGGGTGAGAGAAGGAAGACAGGATAAAAGACATGCTGTGAATAATAACTAATTTAATGCAGAAAGGTGTATAAACACATTGTGCATGGAAGAGGTGACTGAAGGAGAAATACTCAATGCATCATGGGAATCCCCCAGCAGCCTACACCTACTGCGTGTCTGACTACCTGAAGAACTAATAACAGCCTCACCTGTGCTTTGTGTATTTTGTTCATCAGCAAATATCAGATTTCTAAAATACTAACTTAAGAATATTGACAAGGTAAACATTGTTCTTGCAGAGCACTAGTATGGTATTACAGTAGTAGTGTCTCATATTCTACACTAAACACAAAATGGTTTTTTAGAAAAGGTAAATATTGTCTAGCATTCTTAGAGTTTAATATAATTCACTGCATGTGTCATCTTTATCCAACTGTCTGGTGTTTGGACCTTAACTTAGTTTGTTCCAGTCAGTATGGAGCTCTTAAAGAGCGAACTGTGGTCACAAGACTTTATTTATGACCCCTTTTTTTATTATTTTGAAATGTGTCACCGGAAACTCAGTGTTTTCTTCACGGTGTCTTGATGTTGGCCAATAACAAGTGCTGGAAACTGAGCAGCAGACTCCAAACTTCTCCGTCAGGACTGGAGAGAAGCTGAGCTGCGTCACAAACAACATTTTTTTTATTTCAGGAGTGAAGTTTTTCTGCAGCACATGTCTGTGACACACACGGATAACACGGAGCAGTTGCATTTATTTAAAAAATGAGCTCGGTTTGGTGTGTTTTGCTCCTCTTTCTGCACTGCGCGGAGCTCCGGTACGCAGCTCCGCTGGAGGCGCAGCAGGCGGAGGATGCTGGCTCACCACCTGCGCGCAGCCAGGCGTCTCTCTCTCCGGAGAGGAGCTCTCTGAACGGGTTTCAAAGTTCAGGACTGCCCGGTGTAAAGCGAGTGGCCCGAGGAGCCAAAGATGGGGGCTTAAGGAAAAAAGAACCGGTTCCCGCCAACAGTTTAGGGCACCCGCGCCGGTACGACGACCCGAGCGCCTACTTCACCACACCGCGGACGTCCCGCTTCACCTCCGCCCCGGTGGGGAACCACTCGTCCGGCCGCGGTTCAGGGCTCCACAACCCGCTATTCCCAGTTACCGACGGCTCCTACTGGGCGTACGCAGTCATGCTGCTCGCGCTCGTCCTGTTCGCCGCGGGCATCGTTGGCAACCTCGCGCTCATGTGCATCGTATGGCACAACTTCTACCTGAAGAGCGCGTGGAACAGCATCCTGGCGGGCCTGGCCTTCTGGGATTTCCTCGTGCTGTTCTTCTGCCTGCCTGTGGTCATCTTCCACGAGCTCACCTTGAAAAGGTTGCTAGGAGACCTGTCCTGCAGGCTCGTGCCCTACCTGGAGGTAAGGAGGAGGTGAAGGTGCGCGTGAAGGAAGTGTTTTAGTATTTAGCCTACAAGCAGCACCTTTTAGTGTCGTGTGAACACCTGTAACTTTCACACACCCGAGTTTTACCATGTACCAACTTTTTCCTGTGTTTCCACAAATTCCCTTAATCAATGCCGAGATAAATTGTTTAATAAATACTTACATGTTTATTATAGATGCACTTAAAGTGTTGCCAGGTGAAGAATCTGCGTAATACTTTGTTCAGCTGTTTTACTGAAATGTTTAAATATATTGTCACTTAATTTGTCTTTAAGTCATTTCAGTTTTTTTATGCAATACATTTAAACACAATCGACCTCGATCAAAGTAATTAAGACATCAATAAACTGTGGTAATAAATTAAATAAAAGCTGAAGCATCAAAAAACAAGAAAAGCGATTATAAATTAAACACAACAATGAAAACTGCCTGAAGATACTAAACTATTCAACAATTAAATTCATGATTAAAGAGTGATCAATGATTAAAACTGAATGCGATGTTGACTTTTCTTTTTTTTAATCTAATGGATAGACTCTAATGTCATTATGATTAATCTTTGATTTTACTGAAATACATTTCTAAATTGTGTGAAATAAGTAAAAAATATCTATGATCTCCTGACTCAATTCTAAATACATTTATGAAACATCAAGTTCTAGGATAGTGATATAAAAAGTTCAGTGATATAAAAACACTTTTATACTCATTTAGTTGATTGGAGGTCATTTTCTGCAGGTAATCTTTCATTGGTTGTTTATTTTAGCATCATCCTCACTGCAGCCATTCAGAATTGAACATTTCTGCACAGATAGCGAGGCAGTGAGGCAAACTTTCACACAAGCATGGAAGTTTTTACAGCTCGTGTTTGACTGATTTTAAGTGATTTCCAGTTTAATAAAGAGACCTCCAGGTCTGATGAATGGCCCGTTTGTGTCTTTGTTCCTCCTCAGTTTCAGCAGCCTTTACTTTGAACAAACGTCCGTTATGGTCTGTTTGGCCTCTTCACCCGTCTGTTATGAACCATCAGGGGAGGCTAGTGTGGGGCCCCAGCATGAAGAGGCTCTTCTTCCTCAAGAACGAAACAGTGAAATACAGAGACGTAGTTTTCAAGAATGGTGGTGTTTATGTGCAGGTGCAGCTCCAAAACTAAGTCTCAGTAATGAAAGAGAAACTGTTGCTAATCCTGATGAATCACTGAATGAACAAAGAAAGAAAAGAAACAGAGATATCAGGCCGTCACTGAAAGAGAGCTCCATTTCTTTAAATGCAGAATACCAGCTCAGGATGGGCCAGCAGCAGCTCAGTTTGGAATTAAAAAAAGCTTTTGTACATGTTTTTAAATCTCTATTTTGAGGCCCAGTGTACACCTGAGTTTAACTGGCATACAGGGAAAAAAGGCCTCCGGCTTATATGGAGGATAAAAGTACAAATAAAGATATTGCTTTAAAAATGTAGTGATTAATCAGACGAAGCAAAAACAGATTAGACACTTGGGATATAAAATGGTATTTAAAGAATGCTCTTGAATATGTCCTCTTTAAGTGTTTAGCCTAAATACAATTTGAGATGCTGACATTTAACTCAGTGGATCTTCTCTGCATCACACAACAGTGATGTTACTTTGATTCGCTGCCTTGGACAACAGAAATTTAAAGAACGTATCATAGAAGACCACCGGGTTTTAAGGACCTACTGAAAAATAGTTTTCATGATTAAATAGTCTTGTCATTATGTAAAATATCAGAAATGAATGAAAAGCAAGACGGTTACAATTCCTTAAAGACCAAATGATTTAAAGGTATTGGAAGAGGCCTCATTTAGAGGTCAGTTAAAAGCTGAAGCAAGAGCTTAATTTAGATTTACTCTCACTGAGCGATGAATGCTTCAGCACAGAGATAAAGTCCTGCAGCCTGTGGAGTCTTTGTTTTTGGCTCTAAACCAGCTCTGTCCGCCTACACAGCTTCAGATCACTGAAGTGGAGTTTCACTAATTTGTAATAACAGCTTGTGTGAAGCAGTCTTTAACAAGGTCAGGCTGCCGGCCTCCTCTATTCTTTGCAGCTTTACCTATTTTTATGCTAATGAGTGAATTAATTTCTGGTTAATGAATTACTGTTGTTTTGTT